TCATGTAAAATCTCAATTAAATATTCAATAAAGATAGAGGCATGGCCTCACCATTAATATTAAAAAAAAAAAAAAATAAAGAGTGCCATCCGTGCTTTTAGTTGCCTAAGCAATAGAGATACTCAAAAAAAAATTTTTATTAATTATAATCTTTATTTTATTTATTTAAAGCAGGTCTATAATCTGAAGATAATTTAGTATTCTGTCTAAGAATAATTTGGTGTTCTTTGTTATAATATAAAAGACAATATAAATTATATTTATAGAGAATTATAAGAAAAACAGAAAGTAATTTCAAACATAATTTGAGCACTTTTTTTTTATTGATATAAGATGGTTTATTTCTATTTGCTAATACCTTTTCTTTTTTTACAATTTATTTACTTTAAAATTTTTTTTTGAGTTTTAAATCTTTTACAATAACACACAATTCAGTATATAATAATGTATTAACATAGTTACAGACTTTACTGTTAAGATAATATTACCTTTATATATATATTCTAAATTAAGCAAGTAACCCTTTTTTAATAATATTAGCACTATACTTAATAGAAATCTGATTTATTCTGGGTCATAGCATTATAGTATAACAGTTTTTATAATATATTTTGAGTTTATTACATATTTATTTCTTATAATTCTAAGATTAGATTTACTTATAAAAATGTATAAATAATATTATAATTTGCATATATTATTAAATTTTTAAAACACAAGAATTTTAAAAGAATTGTGTTTGATATAAAATATTTTGAAATAATTTAAAAAACTGTACTAATCTCAAAATTTATTAAAAAACTTCAATAATAAATAATAATTAGCAAGTCATTTCAGTTAAGATGATGATAAAATTATTAAATTTAATTAAGTATTTACTAAGATAACTTAAATACAATTTTTTCAAAATATTATGAATATGTTAAAATAATTATAATATTTTAAAAGAATTGTAGTTAAGCTATCTTAGTAAATATTTAACCAAATTTAATGATCTTATTATCATTATGATCAGAATAACTTGATGATTATTATTTATTATCACAATATTTTGAAGTTTTTTATAAAATTTTAAGATTAGCATAGTTTTTTAAATTCTTTTATAATATTTTTTATTAAATACAATTCTTTTAAAATTATTATATTTTAAAAATTTGATAATGTAGATATTCAAGCTTTTAATAACAAATGAGTCCTATCTAAAATTACAAATATATAAATCTAAATAATAAGAAACAGTTATCATAATATAAATATAAACATTAGATCTACTATTTAAATATTAATAACTTATTAACTACTCTAAGTTATTACACTTTTAAGTTTTTTTTTTAGTATTAAGGTAACCTCTTTGGTCTTTTAATGTTTATTAATAATTTTTTTGGTAAAATATTTTTATAAATCACTATAAAAAGAGTATACAATTAATTACATATATAATTTTTTTATATTACTTATTTAAGAAGTCTGCTTAAAAGTTCTCTATTAATTATTATATCTAACATTTCTATTTAAGTATTTTATTTTAAACTCTCTAAATCTGTAACCTGTATTAACATTACTGGATTATGCTTAGATTATTATCTCAATCTTAGGATTATTTTATTCTTAACATAAATCTTTTAAAATCTTTTATATTCATTTTTATAATTGACTTAATATTACTATGATAGAACTAATAACTAGTTATTAAATTACTATATTCTTGTAAAGTTTATTTAAACTTCAGTATTTACTTTATAACATATCTCTATTACTTTAATATATCTTTGTCTGTTTATCAGACTTCTAATTCAGATAACTAATATAAGACTATAATCAATTTATTAATATATTAAGTCAACCTAATATTCTTTTTTTCTAGTTTATTTTAGTAATTTGATTGGTAATACCCTCTACCTAGTAGTTCTTGCTTATCCAAAACTTTAATATTGGTATTTATTTCTAGTTATCTAATCTTTACAGTAATGTTATTAAACAATCCATGCTACTTTTTTACTTAGGTCTTTTCAAATAAACTTCTTATTACCTAATTTTACCAGATTTATATGATTACAAGAACTTATCTAAAGTTTTATTACCTGATGCTAGTTTGCATTCTGCTGTATAATCAATTACACAAATACTCTATAACCTGCCAGTCATACTGGTGCAATCATCATTACAGGTATCTTAACTCAATTATTAGAAACAGTTGCTATAATATAAGTATTACATAGGTAATTATTCAAATTTTTATTATTAATAGAATTTGAACACCCAATTTACCACTTGGGTGTTGACAACTTATTTACTTCACTAAGCCACCACACTTCTTAAGTTGTTCTTTTATAACTCTATATAATTATATAAATATTATATAAAATTTTTATATAAGTTTATGACCCAATATAAACTTATATAATAGAAATTTGTATATATAATTTTATTTATTATTTATATAAACATAAAATCTATATAAATTTTATTTTATTTTTTTACAAAATATTAAAGATGTCTATATAAATTTTATATAAGCATAATTTAATTTAACTATTTCTCAAAAGTGATCAAGGTAATCACCAATCGATGCACTAAGCAAAAATGTTCAACAAGTTCAAAAACCTTTCCCAAACCCTAATTTAAACTTTAAAATCCAATCCTAGCTTTAATATTTAAGTTAAAATTTTTTTGTTATTTTACATAATTCTACATAAAAATATACTGTATATAGACTTATATAAATAGATAGGTAAACTTACATTGGGTTTATAAAGTTTTTGTAAAGGTACATAAAATTTTACATAATTCAACATAAAAATTCTATATAATTCTACATAAAAACAATTTCATAATGAAGAAGAAATACGTAGTATATATCCACTATGCTAATATTAGGGCCTATCTTGGACTTATGAACTTTAGACCTAAATTAGAGTTTAGTCTTTAAGAATTAGATCTCGACTTTACTATCAAGATTAGATGCTGATTCTATTGAACATGTGATTATTCAGATGAAATGTCGATATCAATATTATTTACGTGCGTATATACCTCATATTGGTTATTAATTGCAAAAATATTAGTTTAGTCGAAGGTTGACTACCCTTTTTATAATTGTAAGGTATGTAACTTGCATTAGAGAAGATTGTAAACTTTATTATTATATAATTCTATATCCGTTATGTATTAACAATCATAATTACATAATTACCGTATTTTGTTTTCATACATAATTACTATCTGCTAGTAATCTTTCTCTTTCCTGATTAGTATTTATCACATCGTTAATTGTGTTGTTTTTTATCATTGCATCATCATGTCTGTTACGATACAATATATAATGCTGAGTCATAAAAAGTAAGTCAAATGCTATACTAAGGAATCCAAGACCACTGATTTGTTTTAAAAAAGGAAAAATATTAATAAAATAAGATAATATTAATACAAATAAGATAATCAAAAATCATAAATAAGACAAACTTACAATTTAACTGAATCACCGGAAATTCCGCTCCAATTATTTGTCAAATAAGCATCAAGAAATAGTTGAAATATTGATAATATTCCACCAGTAAAGTCTAATAGAATGTTGTGAATACTCCATCCTACTGTGGATTTTAGACGAAAATTTAGGTAGGCCTGTGAAAAAATAATGATTAATATCGAGAATTAAGGGATTATTATTAATGTAAAAATGTACCTGTGGAAGATATTTAATAAAGCTTAGGACTAATTTGATGTAGCTTAGATAATATAACAAGTCAATCCATTGGCAGGTTCCAATTTCAACTCCGATCAGCATGAGTACTATTCCGATAACGGAACCAATAATTAAGATGCGAGCAACTGGCGACACTTTTTGATCGACACTCCGCTTTATTTTAAAGCGAGATTAGAACATATTGCATAAATAAGATTAAAGTAATATTGATAATAGGTGACCACATGCGTACCCTGTAGTAAAAAGTTTGAGATAGTGTGATAAAGCTAAGGACAAATGCATGAACAGCAAAAAACACATCGTTTGGTTGTACTAGATTATCTTTTCCATTGTTCCTATCTCGATATTCTTTTCGGACTTCTTCGGATGTAAAGAACGCGATATTGAACGCCTTAATTAAAAAATAGATAGATAAAAATTAGCATCTGCATTAAAAAAATAACGGACAATCATGGCTTGTGAGTCATACCGAATAACATGTGAAACCGTATACGTTATACCATAGAAAGTCTAACGAAAGACCTTGAACACTGTACGAAAAGTGTGTGAATAAAAACGCGTAATAATGATTAAACCTAAATCTAGCATAAACCTCTTTCGCCGCCAGTTTAATATAGCCTGAGGATAAAAGCTAATAGACCAAGCCAAAAAATATGTCTACGAGTATAAAAAAGTGTTAGTTCACGTGACTAGCAATTGATAACGTCTAACCAATGGTTGCATATTACATACCCATCCGATAGCTTTAGAGAATCCCACCCAAAATCCTGGTACAGGCATTTTTTAAAATGAGACTCGGGTTTATTTTAAAGGAATAGTATCAGAAAACCAGGACTTTAAATATTGAAGAACCAAAACCTGCTTATTTTATAGGTAATTCGGAAGGTGAGAAAATCGTTTGTACACATGCCATAATGAACTCTTTTAAGATCACGAAATATCGACCAAAAATGGTGCAATTTTCTCAGTAGAGGTCAAACATCACATGACTTAGTGCTATGTTGATTATTAATTCAATTGCCGATAATGATAATATGTATATTACACGCATGATGATGGAATAAGCTTATAAATACGTACCATCCTCAAACAATATTTGTGCATCATAGGTTATTCAATCAAAATCAATTGGGAATTTATATATATATTTATTTCATGTAATGTCATGTTGAAGAGATTTCATTTTATTGTCTAAAAAAAATAATAATAATGAAGGCAATGAACGTTACCGGAGCAAAAATTTGTGAAGAATTACCTCATCCAGAAACTAGAGATATTGTATTACCAAACCAATCGGACTATGTTTCTCATATTGCCGTTGATGTATGTGAATACTTTTAAAGGTCTTCTCTTTAGAACATCATCACTTATTGAGTTTATATCAGATTGGCGGTTCCTTGGCAAAAGTAGTCTATTTTTCAAGAAAACCAACATCTTCGATAGGTGGTAGGCTAAATTTTATTAAATTTGAAACAGATAAGATAGATGAATGTATTGAATTTATCGAAAACCTTGTGGCTGCGAGGAGTGATCCGAATGTAGTTATAAAAGCTACAGGGGGCGGATCATATAAGTATTACGACGAATTTACCAAAAAAATAAAAGGTGTTAAGATGGAAAAGGAAGATGAAATGGAATGTCTTATAAAAGGTAGGGCAGGTCCAAATTCAAACACAGGCTCATATAAATGTTAACACTGAAATGTTGTGTTAGGTTTGAATTTCTTGATAGCTGAGATTCCATATGAAGTATTTACGTATAGTGAGCATAATCCTATGCACTTTGAGTACACTTCATCCGCGCCATCTAGCATGTTCCCTTACATGGTATAATAATGCTTTTTTCCGCTTTTTTTTCCTCACAAAAATTCTAATTAGTTATTATTATCTAATAGTTGGTTAATATTGGTTCTGGTGTTAGGTAAAAAAAAAAACCTTGTCATGTTACTTTTATTATTTGTGGAATTTTATTGTTAACTGAATCAATACTGTATAGTATATTGAAAGTGACTGGTCCAGATAAATTTGAACGTATATCTGGTACTTCTGTAATGTATTTTTTTTTTTTCACAAGAAAGTTTTTAATGCTTAAATTTTGCTATCTATCTAATATTCCATAATGTTTTATAACTTGTCTTTTAGTTGGGAGGTGGTACATTATGGGGTCTTCTTTCATTATTAACAGGTGCTCAATCGTTTGATGGTGAGTATTTTATATGGTTTATTATACTTATAATATTATGAATCGCTATTTTAGTAACTTTATTGTGTAAAAAAAGAAATGTTGGAAATGAGTAAGCATGGAGACAATACGAATGTGGTATGTTATTTGAAATCATACAGTTTAATATTTGGAATCATATTAATTCACTTTGTTTTTTATAGGATATGTTGGTTGGAGATATTTATGGATCAGATTACAGTAAGGTTGGATTGAAATCATCAATGATTGCTTCATCTATGGGAAAAGTGTTTAAAAAGAATGTGAAGCAAAGTGTCGGTAATTTTCGTAGCGAGGATATTTCAAAATCGCTGTTATACATGGTCAGGTAGACGTTATGATTTATTTTATTTTATTTTATTTTATCTTTTTGCTTAATGAATAAAACCCAATAAACTTAATCTTTTTTTTTTTTTTTTTTTTTGGAATTCAGTAATAATATCGGTCAAATAGCTTATCTGAATGCACAGGCTCATGGATTAAAACAAATCTATTTTGGTGGTTGTTTTATAAGAGGTAAAAAAATCTTTTTTTCATGACGATTGGAGTATGTTAACATATTAATAAATATAGATATGTATTTTTTTAGGACATCCAATTACAATGAATACTTTATCGTATGCGGTAAATTTCTGGTCAAAGGGGACTATTAAAGCTCTCTTTCTTCGTCATGAAGGATACCTGGGTGCAGTTGGCGCTTTCCTTAAACACGGAGCAAGACAACGTTCTGGTTCCTTTTCTGAGATATTTACTAACCCACAAATGATAACTAAAAATAGTATTAACGCTTGTGGGGTTTTGGAAAGCGCCCCGATCAATCTAACTCCGTTCCCAAAAATTGATAATTTGGACAGTTACAATCCTGACACCTTAAAGCTTACAGATCCATCACCATGGATTGATGTTTTGGAGACAAATCTCCATAAACTTGTTGAATTAGTTGTAAAATCCTGTAATAGTGATGATAATGGTGATAGTTCTTCGTGTGATGTTGGACAACGTGCTACAAAATTTGATAGTATGTTTCGGAAACATTTAGCTCTTTTACGCGATCGTCCGGCTATGTATGGTGCATTGACTGTACGAAGCTTATTAAATCTTAGAGAACAATGTCTACATGAACTTGGGTTTTCTGATATTTTTGCAAAAGTGAAGGCTGAAGAGAATAAAACCGCTTTAGAAAGTCTACAAAAGTTATTAGTAAATATAGACTCCATTCAAAATGTGGAAGATAAGATAGATTTATTAATTGATAACATATTGGCTGGTAACATGTTTGATTGGGGTTCGGGACAAATTTTGGATATGCTTAAAAAAGGTGAACTCTCTTTTGAATCGGCTCACACTAAAATAAAGAAACCTGAACACCTAAACCAAACAAATAAATTTAAGCAACGTATTGTCAGTAAAACAAAACCACAATTAAGAAAAGCTGTGATATTTGTCGATAATTCTGGTGCAGATATCGTTTTGGGCATAATCCCTTTTGCTAGATTCTTGATTTCTTTGGACATGGATGTTATACTTGCTGCTAACAGTTTTCCTGCCGCAAACGATGTGACTGTAAGCTTTTTTTTTATTTATTAATCAATGATTTTGCAATTATATTAATTTTAAATCATTATTTAGGCTGATGAACTAACAACCATTTTATCGTCGGTTTCTAAAATGGATTCTTTTATTGCCGCAGCTTGGGTATCAAAAAAATTAACGGTTATGGCGACTGGAAGCTCTAGTCCTTGCCTTGATTTAATAAGAATTAATGAAGATCTTGCAAAGGCATGCGAGAATGTAGATCTTGTAGTATTAGAGGTTATTATTATTATTATTATTATTATAAGTAGTACTACTGTAAAGTTTTCTTGGTTTTTTTTTTCTTGATACTCACGTATTATTGTTGATTTCACATAGGGTATGGGAAGAGCCATTCACACCAATTATAATGCAATATTTACATGTGCATCCCTTAAATTAGCAGTATTTAAGAGCTCTCTTGCTGCGAATGATCTAGGAGCAAATATTTATGATGCCATAGTGTTATACGATGAAGGTTCTGCTGCTAATGCTTAAAAAAAAAGATAAGGATCATATATAGTATAGGTGGGCATATAGAGTACGTGACAACTATCCATATAATAAATAGATGTTATACAAAAAATATATAAACGTTCTATAAGATTATATAGTTAAAATTTATATTTTTATATTACGCACCTTGTTATATATACAAACTTAACCTACTAATCTATTTTGTTGCCCACCTATATTATAGTTCAATCAAAGAGGAGGATGCGTGTTAAAATTTTGTTCTAGACAAGGCCTTACTATCATGAATTGTTATAAATTTTAAGTTAAATGGCATCATCCTTTTTAAATATATAACACTTAATGGATGCATTAAACACATTTTTGGTACATTTAAACCAGGCCTACCGAAAAATTGCAATTAATTTTTGTCATACAATTATAACTGTTCTCATAAATTCTGGGACAACTGATAAAAATTGATCAGCCGAATTCGATAAGTTTTTTGGATTCGGTGTTATCGGATTAGTGTAATGTGAAAATTCAATTTCGATAACACCGAATTAAAAAACTTGGCCGATCAAATTTTTAACAGTTGTCCCTGAGAAGTTGTAAAATCAATTTTAATTATTGTCGCGACTGATGCCAAAATTTGGGGTCATGATTTGGAAATATAAGCACTGCTAAAATCCACATATACTCTTTAATTATCAATTCTAACCTTAAACACTAACTATAAAAAAAACAACGGTGAAAAAATGTTCTAAAAATTTTTTAAAAATTCATATCAAAATAGGTCCAAATTTCAGCATCAGCCGCGACTATTGTCATGAAATCAATTGAAACCAATTAGTAACGGAATAATTACAATTTCCTTTTATCATACGCCCAGTGTTTGAAATTGGCTTGCACAAGATGCACACGTGCAACTTTTTTTAATGTGCAAGTATTTTGTAAAACATTCATGCAAAATATGCAAGTAAAATTAAAAAAAATTGCACCAAGTAGCATAGAGCAAGTTTGATTTTATTGGTTAAAAAAAATGATCGACATTTATGTTGATACTGTAATTTACATATGCGAAATTGAATAATTTGATTGGCTAATAAATAATAAAGGCATAATTACTATCAACGCGTTGCAATTTTTGAAACTTCTCTCAAATAAAATTTTAAATATACGAAAAAACCATTGTTCCGGATAATTTTAAAGATTTGATTCATTTATTAAAATTCTTTTTTTTTTACAATGATTCCAAAAATGAAGGCCCATGTGCAGTGTGAAATTGTGATACAAAATTAGGTCAGTTTCGCAAATTTACAGCACTAGCATACAAAAAAGCTCAAACAAAAGAGACCTATGCCTCTTATGCCTATCTAACTATTGGAAATCAATTGTGTCATAGGCATTATTTGGACATCATTGAGTCTAATAGAAATAAGAAAATAGAGAGTCCTAAATCATTAAAAATAGAAAAAGAAAATGTAATTAAAATAAACAATAAAAATATACAAATAAATAAAAATAGTATAACAAAAACTCTTTCTGCAAATCCATTGCACAAAAATTAACTAAAAAATTCGTTCGTCAAAAAACGCTTATAACTATTTA